GGGACGGATTCGGGACGGATTCGGGAGGCGCAGCCCAGGCCCACGATGGTTTCCCGCCCGAGCCCCGGGCCGCCCCGCGAGGGACAAAAGCCCAGCTGCCAGGGGATCGGGCGACTGAGGGATGCAGACGGCACATCGCTTTGGACAAACCGCGGCCCAAGCCCTTCGGCCTCCAGCTTGCGGCCGCTGCTCCTTCAACCGCGAGGATGCGAGGGAGGTTCTTGCTGCAGTTAGGAAACTTTCACCTCTTCTCCCGTTCGGTTTAAAATACAGTCTTTGCATAACTCAGGGCAAACCACCTGGAGGAATTATGCGTAAGAAACCAAACCAGGGGTAGTACAGAGGGTTGTGAGGCGGGGTCTTCAGTCATGGGGGCAACACCACAGAAATACGCCTCCCTTCGCAAAGGGCTCCACCCCAGACCCCGGACCCAGAGCGGCCTCGAGGGCATTTACATTTGCAAAGCTGCGTCAAACCCGTCAGCTTAGAAATGCTCCAAATGCTCCCCAGTTCTGGGGAGGCAGGCACAGAGGAGCCTTCTCAACTGCGAGGGCGACCCCTGGGGTGCTGGAGGGATTCGTGGGACACCAATTTTCCTGAGTGCCTTCAAACAGGAAGCGCACTTGCGGGGCTCCTTAAGGTAACGCTTGCAGGGGACCCATGCACAAAGAAAAATGACAGGAGCCGGCGAAGGAGGACTCAAAGAAGGGCGAGGGGGGCGGGCCGATCTTCAAATAATTCCCAGTCGTTAGTTACAACACAAGGTTAAAATGTAAGCCTTAAGACACTTTTTTTTTTTCCTGCAAAGTAACATTAAAAGCAAAAGTGCATTGGAAAGGCATTGTAACAAATGACAGCCAATCCCAACGTACAAACTGAAATCGGATTATTTTCCAGAGCGTCAACACTGCGATTCAGCATGCAAATGCTACACCTCACCTCCCAAGGGGAAGCTCGACTTCTTCCTTAATGGAACAGTAAGTTCTGAATCAAACAGAAGATTCCGGTTGAACAATTCTACCTGCTGCTAAATCGACAGACTTTAACAACGTGACAATCTCACTTTCTAGATTAAAAAAAAAAACAACTAAAAATTGCTTGTTACCAAAGCAAAACTATTTACTTTAGATAAGTTGTTAAATACAAGATGGATTGTCTTTTCTTATATATGTAAATTCTAATTGTAATGAACTTTTTTGCCAAATGTGCTGATGCTACCTGGCTTACAATGTGAAATTCTCACACACACACACACACACACACACACACACACACACCCCTTATCTTCTTTGGCACAGTATGGATAACTTCCTTTCTTTTTGAAATAATCCGTTCAATGAAATTTGGGGGTTGAAGAAGGGATATCCTGTATACCAGAAAATTCAACAGTTTCAGAAATTTTATTTTAAAAAAGACAAGAAAATGATCAAAGGGGGACCCAGAAATGGCCCACATACCCTCCACAGCCAGTTCCTGACCCTGCCTACCTTTGAAAAGATAAAAGTAGAAACAAGAAAAACAAAACAAAACAAAACAGCAGCACCTGTGCACAGAATTGAGTCAAGTGTTATGGGGCCCTGAATTATTAGCTAATGAATAACCAGTTTAAATTCCAGAACATCTTTCTCTTAGTGTAAATCTTAATCAGGAAATCTGTCTGTGTGCCTGAGTCAGCCTGAGGAGGAGCACGATTTACCCCCTCCCCTGCCTCGCTGGGATTGTTGAGCAAGTTCTGATCAGAACTACAGTTTCTTATTTTTTTGTTAAGATCTTAAAGCATTAGACAGAAAGTCAATACCCACGCATCTCAATGATTACTTTCCCTCCTGAGTTCGTAAACACAGGGCAATATATCCACAGAAAAATGAAAAATATTTCAGTGTGTTGCCTCTCTCAAGGTCAATCCACATCTCCATGGAGACTTCCTGAAAGGAGGGAGGGTGAGTTTGTGAGGAATCGTTCAAAGTACAGTATTAGAAAGCCATAAATCACTCTTCAGATTTATCACTGTTTAAAAATAAACGAGCTGGGTTATATTTGCAGCGACTCAAAGTGGAGCATAAATTTACATGACGTATTTGTTCAGCTCACTGATAGGAGGCTAATATTATATTATTTTCTTCCTGTCCAGTTATTTACACATATACAGTATTTCAGTTAAAAATAAAATATAACATCATAAACTATTTTATAGGAAAGCATAAGGAAAGTAAATATGCAAGTCCATTAAAGACTAAAGTGCTCCTAATGAACCACTTGATTTGGGCAAAGGGACAATAACAATCTGTCAGAGAGAACATCGCTGGCAGGTGGTCTGATGGCGTGAAGAGGCCAGATGCCCACCAGCAACCGGGCTCACAATCTCTACAATGGCCCCCACTCCAGCCCGGAGGGGTGGGCAGCACAGCACCAGCCTGGCCACCGGAAGTCAGTCCCCTGCTGGGGCTCAGCTCCTTGGCTGCAAACAGGAAGGGGTCGGCAAGGTCTGAGCAGTTCACACAGCTCTTCTCCCTCAATGGGTGCAATAGTCAGTTCCCCTGCAAGCTCCAAACCATATGCCCCAAGCATGAAACCACCAGGCAGCAATTCACTACTGAGGAGTTAACTTTGCTTTTCCAGTACATCTGTGTCAGTAACATTCTGCCGCTTTGGTTGGAGGGTGGCAAAAAAGGAAACATCTTGGTCCCGATCAGACTGCAAAGCCAAGACAGTCTCTTCAATGACTTTAAGATGAGGGTTACCGGCATTTCTAAAATATGCTAAGGAAAGAAAACAGGAGTGTGAAACACATGTGCCATGAACTGTGTTCGAAAACATACCCTCGTTTTGTTTTGTTTTTTTAAAGTGTATGTCAGGAGAATAAATCATGTTTGATAGAACAGTCATACATAAGACTTTTCAAATGATAAAATGCCTTAATCAAAGTTTTGATGGACTCCTAATGGCAAGACATATTTTAAAAAGTATAGTAACCGGCTGGGCATGGTGGTGCACGACTATAATCTCAGCACTTAGGAGGCTGAAACAGGAGGATCACTGCGAGTTCGAGGTCAGCCTGAACCACACAGTGAGACCCTGTCTTCAAAACAACAACAAAAGTATAGTAACTAAAAATTGTTAATATCTTTTTTTCTCCTAAAACAAAAGCCTGGCAATGTATAGAATACAGGAGAAGAACAGGCTGTTGGCAAGGGATAAAATGGCAAAAAATGTACAAGCAGGGAAGAGTTTAAGCTGTTTCCTATATTGTGGTATAGAAATAATCCATCCAAGGAACACAGCTTACAGTAAGTCTTGTTCAGGATTAAAATGACCAATTAGGTTTGGTTATAAATGTCTTTTTACCAACTACAAAACATTATCATTACAATTTAATAGCAGCTAAGGCTTAAGCTAGTCACCTTTCATAGTCTTTCAATCATATTCAAAACGTACAAGTCTCACCAAGCAAGGAGGCACACTCTTGTAATCCTAGCACTCTGGGAGGCTAAGGCAGGGGGACTACAAGTTCAAGTCCCCCCTGGGCAACTTAGCAAGATCCAATCTCAAAGGCAAAAAAACCCCAAAAACAACAATAAAAAACGCTGGGAATGTAGCTTACTGTGAAGTTGCATTCAATCTCCAGTAAACAATAAAATAATTTACAAGTTTCCCTCCTTTCTCGTATCCTCTGAAGACTGACATTCATTTCCTCAGTCATCTCACAAATACCATTACATATAAAAGTCAGCACATTAATTTACATGACACATCTGAAATCTGCTATCAGACAACTGGTCCCCTGAGGACTGCTCGCTGCTGCTGGAGTGTACTGAGAATGTATACCCTTTGCCATCAAGGTCTGCTGCAGGGCCTTGGCCAGCAGAACCCTCACGTTGGGCACAGGATCCGACTTGAGGCTCAAGAGGCTGGGAAGCAGGTGCTTAACAAACTGGTCCACCGGGACACACTGCTCGCTCACCACGGCCTGCAGCAACAGAGAGACACAGCCAGATGAGCAGCACTTGCCAAGTATGCTAAAAGCACATACTCCTGTCATTCCCAAGCAGTATTTTCAGAACATATAGGTTTGAGGGGTGTGTGTCTGTGAACCTTTTACATCTCAAGCACTGAATCTGCCTAGAAGCATCATTAATATAAACATTCTTAATACCTTGTATGTTTCTTATTACAATTAACCACCAAGTGCTGGTTTATGAATTGTGTAAGAACTGGAGGGGAAAGCATAGGCTTAGGGTCAGACCTGACCTATCCAGTCTGAAAACCAAACTGGTCACTGACTAGCTCTATATGGCCTTGGGTAAATTCCTCAGCCTTTCCATGCCTCAGTTTCCTCAAATGTACAATGGCAGGTCCTTCATGCGAAGCAGCTTCAACACAGTGCTACCATACTGTTATTCAGCTGGCCAAGAAGGGTTCCAAATCTTACCTCTGCACTCACCTGCAGGCTCTGTGGGTGGGGGCCTGGTTATCCAAATCCTGAGCCTTATCCAGACGCCCAGAGCTTGATAAGCAGCGGATAAACACTGCACTCCAACATCTGCACACCATGTCTCCACTTAAAAGAGTTTTATGTACATCCCCTCACTTAATTCTTAAACTAGCTGTAGTGGTTGAATTCAGCCTGGATCTACAGGTCAGAAAGTTCTGGTCCAATGTGGTGGTCACATTACATCCTGATGGTCTCGTGACCAACAGGTGGCAGCAGGGTGGGGATCAGAGCCAGGCATTCCGTTTCTGGGTCTGCAGGGAAGCTTGTGCCCCGGGTGGTGGCTCTGAAAGCACAGGGCTGACAGCCACCAAGTGCATGCTGGGTGCCAGCACTGTTTCAGGCACACAGGGCTACTGACCTCCACTCCAGGAAGAGCACATATCACTGCCACTGTTGCTCTGTGAGGAGGGAGTGGGGCTAGGGTCTGGGTGGGTGGGTCTGACCCCAAATCAGGCCCTGTACTCTCCGGTGACAGATGCCCAAGTCTGTGTTCAAAGGGTGACCAACAAGGTCCTCGGTGGGATTCCTGACTGTTGGGCAACCTTTACTTCACTCTGTACTTCTGTGGGTTTTCTAGATCTTTAATAATTAATCAATGAGAACAAAAAAAGAAGACCCCATTGATTTTCCCTGAACAGAATTAGTTGGTGTCATTTCCTTCTGTTTTAATAGCTTTAAAAAATCTCTAAGAAGAAAAAAAAAATTTCATTTATGCTTTTGCTGCAAAATGATTTGGGATCCTGCCTTTTTCTTCACAAAAGGCTGTGCTGTCAAGGCCTGTGGCTTCAAAGCTGGCACTTCTCAGAGAATGGCCAAAGTATCCTTGATGCTGCTCTACCTCAACAGGGGGTGCTCATGAGTTCTTTGGTTGGTTTTAGGAGGGGATGGAAAGGAGATTTGGAGTCTGCTGTGTGACCCTGAACAAGTCACCTAACCTTTCTGGGCTTCAAATGCTTCATCTAAAACAACAGTCCAAATGTAAATGTATGCACCTCACCAATACACAGGAGCTCTTATACAATCAGATGCCAGGACCCTGGATGCTTGGCACTCAAGAAATGGCAGACATCGTCACCGCCAATGTCCTCAGCCAAACATGTCATTCATTTCTCAGATGGTCAGAAGAGATGGTGATCTGAGTAGGTGGGTAATCTGGCATGAACCGGGGTTAAACGGTCCCCCCACCCCACAAGGCTGCTGGCTGGTGAGGTACAAGAGTGGGCCAACCCTGGACTGGACACGATAGGCTGACTGTGGGCCAGACGGCAGGTGTGGGAGAGCCGCTGTTCACACTGTCATCTGCAGGGGGAAGATGCCCAGTGTACTGCAAGGTGTTCAGTCACTGGCTGTGCCAGCCCTGGGCAGGGCCCTTCACCTCACTGGCACAGTCACACTCTCCTGCAGGAGACGGAGGCTAGGAAAACCGGTCCCCATGTCCCTGGCTAGTGCCCAAGGCTTGGGATTCTTTGGTGAAGACGCAGCACACAGCAAACACATCCAAAGAGCAGCTTCTCCCCAGGCCCAGGCCGTGCTAACCTGACAAATGAAAGCGAAAGCTTGCCTTCCAACCCACTTTGGACAGTGCCGGAACCTTATGATGAGTTCATTGATGAAGTTCAACCCCAATGCACTTTCACTGTTTGAATAGAACTTGTGCAGAATTGCCACAACCTGTGAAAAATATCAGAAGAACACATTTAAAACACTGCCTCCTGTGAACTATAACTACATGAGCACTAGACAGTTTTAGGCACGTCTACCTTTAAAATAAATCAGCATAGAGAGTGATTTTTTCCACAGTAATTATTAGAACACAGAGAAAATATGTTTAAATATATGGCAGTTCACATAAAACCCATCATAAAAAATTAAATTATCCAAGGTACTGGCATTAGCAAAATATATTATTAAGCTAACCTTCTAAATTTTAGAACATATTCCTTTGCATAACTAAATCCTCATCTTTCAAAACATGTCATTTTTATAAAACTTTAATACTATCAAAGTATTTTAAAATCATTATTTTCAAAATATATTTCTTTGTCAGTATTCAGCTGGCATAAACCCACACAAAACAGAATCAGCTTTTCTATACTGGAGTCTTTGCTCACTAAACACTGCTACAAAACCAAGCTGTAGGGTATTAAAAAAAAAAAAAAAAAACTAAGCAATTATTTAAAGGGTTTCATATATTTAAAAAAATGACTTATCTGCAATTACCATCACTGAAGCGTACAAATTAACAAAGAACCTGCCCTCCAATTTAACACAATACAGTTCTTAACTTTAAAATTAAAACACCAATTTTATAGGTGAACTGAAAAACTAAGTCTAGAAAAAAAAGGAGTTAAAAATGGAAGATCCATAAATATTCCTATTTACAAATTCCACAGAGAGAAAAAAGGCAGTGATTCCTTACTAGTCTGAAGGAGATCCACCGAACTTCAGAAACTTTATCTGCACATAATCTCAAGGCAATATGCATTAAATAATCATAAACATCATTTGGGTTATAGAGTTCCAAAATGAGGATCAGCTGTCTGGAAGAAAAAACAAAATTATTTTGGATCCACAAAAGCCCCTTACTGATTTCTCTTTACTCGCATCTCATTTCCTCTCATAGATAAAAACAGCCAGGCTGGGAAATAAACTGCACTGAAGACCTAGCAGGACTTCGGGCAGAAAGATGCCAACAGCAAGGAAGCTAAGTCACCAGCCATGTGAAGGAATAAAAAAAAAAAAAAAAAAAAAAATCACCATCTATGCAACAGCAACAGAAAGGCAGTAAATCAGACTTTGCGAAATAGAGGCTGAGAAATGTATGAACATAATTTAATATTTCAATTTTAGGTTATCAGTTGAAAGGCATATAAAACTTTTAAAACCTGGTAACATTTTTAAAAAGCCCAAATGCTGAAGCTCCCCAAGGTCCACAGAGGAAGCGGGCACTCGCACGGCTCCGGCTCCGGCTCCGGCTCCGGCTTCGGGCCGCCTGGGAAGGAAACACGCTGCTTTGCTGGCGGCTGCCGGCTCCGCGCTCCCAGGGAGGTCCGCTTGCAGAGAACCGAGCAGAGCGCGTGCTCTCAGCCCGGCAGACAAAAGGGAAAATGCTCTGTGACAGCTGGCCGAGAAAACCCACTACCAAGGCTCTCGCTCTTTTCTAAACGGGGCTGGGGGAGAAGGGAAGGAAAATAAATCGCATTATTTTCACCCAGGCCACCAAAGGAAATGAAAAGGAGATGAGGAGGGAGTTACAGCCGGAAGCCGGGAGTGCCGGTGAATACTTTCATACCAAAAAGCACTGTTTTCAGAAAAATGACACCAATATCATGGGCTCGGGAGCACAGAATTCTTATCAGCCGCTCTGGCTTCAATAAGCATGAGATGGAAGATAGAAGCGCTAGCAGGGAGATAACGGATCAGAGACGGCGGAGCCGGTCCATCTCCCGGGAAGCGGGTCAGCCTAGCCCAGCGGAGCCGGCCACGAGGCCTCCCGCAGGCGGCCGCTAGAGGTCGCAATGTAGTCGTGGAAAACCTGGGCCTGTTTTTCTCCATTTTTGGGGAACAGTATGCCTGGAACATAGCATAATGACTAAACCTCAATCTCTCAAATTAAGCATAATGATTAAAGCTCATAGCAAAGAGAAAAACCTTCCAGCGTGCCCCTGGCAACAGCCAAATCATACCCTGAATAGCTGCAAAGGCCTGATGTATTTCTTTGGGGAAGACAATTATTTGAGAGATTTCTAGTTGTGGACAAGAAAAATGAAAAGATACCGAAATGAATCTCAACAAGGCAAAAACTAAAACCCAAACAACCACCAGCACAAACAAGGCCACTCTTTGATGAAAAGCACACGATGCACCCCAGGCTGTTCTGTTGCCCGACACTGTCACTCTTCAGAGACCTCCAACATTCCTTCTGCCAGCACAAGGTGGAGCTGAGCAGCCCCTCCCACATGGAACGATGCACAGACGTGGGCCACCTAGGGCGACATTTTTATTTAATAGTCGTCTCGTCTGGGTTAGACCTTTTCAGATCTCTGTCAACCAATTTTCTTTAGAAGCTGAAGTACATAAAACACGATGTACCCTACAGAGAGGGTTGCGCTCAGAATGTTCAAGAAAGATTTGCAAAAACTGCTCCGATTAATAGGAAAATACTGAAGAGTGGGTGATGCATCTTTTATTTGGTTCAAATAAATCGCCTTATAGAACAGCAGAACACTCTAATTCCAGAGTGACTCCAGCCCTGTCTTCATGTGAAAATGAATGTCACCCCGGAGACGGTGGTATATGTAACTTAGAGCTTTGGAATTCATTGCATACCTTAATAAAACATAATCTCTTTATCTAAAAGAACATTATTACTGCTGGTTTAGAAATCAATTATAAGGTAGGAAAATTAAGAATTATTCCTCTGATCTGCCTTCCCATAACCCCAAACAGGTTTTTACTTACTCTGCCAGTTCGTATCGAAACCTCCAATTCCTGTTGTTATCGGTCACTACAAATTCTTGAAGCTGATAAAGATATTCTCTCCTCTTGTCTTCATGGAGCAACTATTTAAAAAAGTACATACATATATATATGTATATATGTATATGTATGTATATGTATGTGTGTGTGTGTATATATACATATATATATGTATACACACACACACACACACACACATATAGTGTTATATCTGTTTCTCTAGTAAATACTGACTGATAAAATAACTTTCTCGATGATTTGCTGCATTCTGTTTGCCAGTATCTTATTGAGGATTTTTGCATTATATATATATATGTATATATGTATCAGTAAAAATCTATCCCTCCAATGACCCCAGTGTCCCCTTTTACTTTGCTTCAGATTATGCATTCATCCCTGCAGTCTATGGCCCAGTGGGGCTGTGTACTTGTGTATGCCCATCCCTCACCCCCCAGATATCCTCCTTTCCCAATCCCCGCAAAGCAGCATGCAGCCTGTTCAGAGGATGATGATATGTATATATGTATCAGTAAAAATCTATCCCTCCAATGACCCCAGTGTCCCCTTTTACTTTGCTTCAGATTATGCATTCATCCCTGCAGTCTATGGCCCAGTGGGGCTGTGTACTTGTGTATGCCCATCCCTCACCCCCCAGATATCCTCCTTTCCCAATCCCCGCAAAGCAGCATGCAGCCTGTTCAGAGGATGATGCTCGGCTGCAATGGCAACTGCATGGGAGGGGAGTCTGCACTATGCGCTGGGCAACAGAGCCCCTTGAGGGCTGCTCTGGGTCGTGTGGGTGCAAGTAATTAGCTCGAGGTCATCTCTGAACTCTTATTTTTACACTCACCATTAAGGACAAGAAAAGAAAAGAAAGAAAATGCAAGAAGGGAAGCAGCAACATCCTGCAGAAAAATCCCTTCCTGCAGCACCGAGACTGGCCATCAGCCCAGGCTCTTCCCCGGGTGACTTCTGGGCAGTCAGGTGACTGCCCGGACAGGGAGGGTGCTGGGCACTGGTTTCCCACCCTCTACAGAGCTGCAGCAATAAAGGACAGGAGGGGTAGGAGGAAAGATACAAAACATTTCCTGTCGGTGAGAGAACACCCACTTCAAGATACTAGATGATACATCTCAACTGAAGAAATCTAGATGACTGTTTTTCTTCACTGATACTATAATATCCAGGATCTAACAGAACTGGCTGGAAAAGGAGAGGTTTTCTGGTTGGCTTTGACCCTTCTTCGTACCTTTAGGAAATCATACAGATGTTTAAGAACTCCTATGCGTACTTCATCCAGGTCCTTTAAAAATCCATTGAAGATGGGCACCAGGTCAGCTGCTGTCAACTGATCACCAAGAATCACAGCCAGCTCATGAATAGAGGAGGCGAGGGTCCGCCGGACCTTCCACTAGGGGTGCACAGCAGACACACAAATCAAAACAAGCAAGTGCAAGTCTATGCCCTAACACCTTATATGGCATTTCTGGGCAAAATGGAGGCTGCCAGGTGTTGGCCACCTAAAGCTTTATTTCATCAGAGACCAGTAACATGCCAATTTGCACCCACATGAAACTCAGGTCAACAAGCCTTGCTGGAGTAGATTCCCTCTGCCTCCTGCCTTTTCATTCTCATGCCTCTGAATAGCTGCTTCTACCTGAACATCAGAAGCCAGCGTTTCGTAGGTGCCTTTCAGACAGTGCCAGTTCTGCCTCCCCAGGGCCAGTGCCACTCCAGGGAGGCTGTAGGCGCACTGTTTGGCTATGTCAGTGTCCACGGTCTGGGCTCGAGCAGGGTCCGTCATCGATACGAACTCATCTAGCAATGACTGAGGAATTACATCCTAGGAAACAGGAGAAGAAGGAAACCATCAGGATTGTAGGAAATAAGATCAAACAGAGCAGTCAGCTCATGAAAAACTAGGAATATGGAATCCCAAAGTGAAAATAGCACAGCAGAAATGCAAGAGGAGCAAGAGGCCCTGCCTAAGCCTAAGGGCTTCGGGCTGATGAGCTTGTTTTATCCAAGGAGTGGGGTTTCAGTTCTAAGGGAAGCAACAGCAGTCCCTACTCTCATGTCTTCCAGACTGGTGCTTCTGGCATCACAGACAACAGCTGAGGCCAGTGGTGGTGAGTCTGGCACGTGTGCTGCAGCGGGATGTTTGCATCAACGAGAGCTCTAAAAGGTTTGCCACCACTGCCCAGTGCTCACCCAGCTCTTAAGTGTGGAGATGCCCAAGACCTGTACTCAGGTCACTGCTGTTTCGCCAGCTGATGGCCTGCCTCCTACGTAAGACCTCACTTACTCATGTTTACCTCTGTGAAAACAATGCGTAGTGAGAATTAAAAACATTTAAGGGAAATTACTCGGCACGAGAAGCCAAACACGGTTCAACAAAAGAAGTTGTCAAGTTCCTAGACCAAAAAGAAAAGGCAAATGATTTGCGTACACAGACTCTAAACATTAAGGTTAGATGTCAAAGTTCTTTTCTTATATTGCTTAGTTTTATTAAAATAGTATACAAGATTGTTCAAAGGACTTTAAACAGGACTTGAGGATTTACTTTTTTAAGTTAGAGAGGAAATATTAGCAATGTGGATAGTGAACTAAAATATATAATTGTGACAGAAAAATATTGGCTTTCAATAACTTTTTTTTTTTTTGCAATACTGTGAATTGTACCTGAGGCCTTCACACTGAGCTACATCTCCATCTCCAGCCTTTTTTTTTCTGAGATAGGATCTTGCTAAGTCACTGTCCAATTTAAGCTTAAACTTGTGGTCCTCCTGCTTCAGCCTCCTAGAGTGCAGGGATTACAGGCGTATGCCATTGCACCCAGCTTCAATGGCCATTCTTAAACTTAACTTTCAGAAAATACAGAGGTTTGAGTTGCTTTTCTTCTTTTTCTCACCGCCCTCATCCCAGCAACAAACCTGTAACTTAGATTTATTCTCCTCAAGTGTGGCGGGTTCAAGCTTCTGCTGAGTCTCCCAGTGGTCACTGGTTCCACAATGGGCATCACCAGGATCCTACAAAGTTGATTCAATTATGGCATTATCAATTTATGGCAAAGGAAGAAGCTGTCCACCTTTTCCCCCTTCAGAGAATCCTCTTTCGTGCCAGAAATGCCTCCATGAACCAACCCAAGAACATGCCTTTAAAGTCAGCGGTATATTTCCAGATGTTAAAAAGTTCATCTGCACACTTACCAGTCATTTTTAAGTGCTACAGGAAATAGTTTTCATACATGTTAATTTCAAGACTGCTTAAAGTGCTTACAAAAAAAAAGGCTGACCTCATAGTTGGTGACTACCAACAAGCTGCGCCTACATCTACTAGCCTGCAGCCCCCAGCACTCCCCACGGCAGCTAGCCAACACCCTCAAACACCATCCACAGGTTTATGCCACAAACCACCCCAGAAGGAAAGACAAGTTTTGCAAGAAATGGCAGAGCAAGTACCTACAGCTTTTCTTAGGAATCAGAAACTACAGTGACCTCTGAGTGAAAATTGGGGGATTCAGGCAGCAGGGGGACAGTGAATCTGAATGAAAAGAAGTGGTTGATAAAGGAGTATTTACTTAATAAACTCTTCTCAGCTTTCACATGTACAAACACTCCTAATGTTTACATCAGGTTAACAATTAAAATGAGCAAGAACATTCAGTAGTGACATACTGGTCTCTGATCACTGATTAACATTAACTGAGATGAACCTGACCTTCTCCTTCAACCATAGCATGGATTTCCAACTTGCACTTGAAATGTCACACTGTCTACCAGCCTAATAGATTCTGACAAATCAGCTCAATATATGATCCAGGAAAGTCGATTAATATACTGATAGATGCTTCGTTTACTCTGAAGCGTGCTACCAGAACCTTCAATTCCCAAGGTTTCCATGGAAAGGTACTGTTTATTTTAACAGAATACATGATAAAACAGAAATATTTTGGAATAATAACCTAAGATTTCTCTTGGGTATGAAAACCTCAATTTCTCCAAGGTAATAAATTCACATATACTAAGATGTGTTGTTGGAATCACTATTGTCATTTTAAGAATTAATTTTATTCCAAACTATTCAGTGCAACTGCTATGTAGAGCTCTTACTTCAGCAGCCAAGTCAAGGTTGAAGCAAACCCCCATAAGTCAAGCCCCTAGAGCTCACATCCCAACCCACCCCCCACTGCAATAGGGCAGCACTTGGAAAGGCTACCTGTGCACCCATCCATCACTCACTGCCCTGTACCTCCTTTTCTAGAAGAATCTGAGCCTTCAGGAGATTTACATGTTTTCTACCCAGCCCACCATGCTAAACCCACAAATGCATGCATGATGTAGCCGTAGCTAGTGAGAGGGGCCAGGGGAGAGGACACAGACATGGGCTTCTGCCATATGGATCCCATGCTCTTCAAAAGAGCAGACCCCTCCTCCCCTGAGCATTTCATGTAGAAACAAGCACCACGGAAGAGTGGGGTGGGGCAGTCAGCTCCCCAGACTCGGGGCCTCCTACCATGCCACTATTTCTGAGCATCTTATACAAGGAAGCCTTCTCTTCACTGTCCAAGCTCTCTGCATCTCTGTTTCCTCTTCCTTCCTTTGCAGCTGGAGACCTAAGGCCTGATCCCACTAGACTTTAGAGTCGAGCTGAAAATGTAAAAGCACTAACTCCTACACCATAAAGACAGAGGGAGTTCTAAGGGCACGAAGCCGTCATATCCATAGCTCAAAGACCCTAATTTAGAGGAATCTGTTCTTTTTCCTTCTTTCATTCCATCCATCCACCCACTCTCTCTTGCTCTTTTCTCCCTCCTTTCTTCCCCCCATCTTTCTCTTTCTTCTGTCTCTGATAAATATCCAAATACCATTACAGACCTACCAAGGTCAATGCGGTCACATCACACCTTTCTACCTCACACACACGGTTTCTGCAGTGTGGGAACAAGAGTAACAGCATGAGTTTTACTACCATTTTTAAAGAAACAAACCAGCCAGCTAAGATATCATCTCATGTCTTACTAATCAATGATAACTTTAACCAATTTTAAATCTTTTACATATGATTTTTGCAGTTTTTGTCCTATTTTACTTGACTGGAGTAGGTCTATAAGGGGCAAGAAGTGACAAGTTAGTTTAATCGCTAAAACTAAATTATAAATGGTATGAACATAGAATTAATTTTTCACTCTGACCTGGAAGACCGTGAGTTTGAAGAGCCTGGTCAAGGCCCACGGTGGAGAAAATGCTGATTTTCCCCTGACTTTCACAATGACAGACAACACCCTAGTTTTAATTCTCTACTCTTACCCCTACCTATGGGAGGTCCCAGGTTAAGGTGGTCCAAGTGCAAGCTTAACAAGTGTTAGAGGCAGAGGAGCCTCCCCAGCTATAAGAGGTTAGAAGGCTTCTGGAGAGACTCAAGGAAGACACAAGTCTTCAGCTGCTCGCCAACGAGTTTCAAGGCCCTGGCTTGGAGCTACAGGATGAAAAGTAGACACTGCTGGCTTTTAAAAATCTATCATCCAGGGCCAGGGATTTAGCTCAGTGGTTCTGGTACCTGCCTTTCAAGTGCAAGGGCTTGAGTTCGATCCCCAGTACCAAAAAAAAAATTTTATCTTCCAAAGAGCAGCCCGCTAATGCCCATAGGGATCTGGTAAAATGAGGGGCTAAATGTGATAATCATTTTCTCAGACCTCTGCCAACTTTAAATTCTAGAAATTGCATGAATTCACTCTCTGCCATTATTAAAAGATGTAAATAAATGACTGTTAGCAGTGACAGAGCATTTCTATGGTTAATACCCGCAAAGAACCAGTTCTTGTCATCAGCAGAGAAAAGGGAAGGTACTTTCTGGTCCCCACCATGTTTCCATGGAAGAGAATCAGTGTTATCAATCACCTGATTGATTGGTTGTCTAGTTATCCAAAACATGACCTTAAGAATGAAATGAAACTTACCATTTATCTTCTCTGTGGGGATATATTAATAAAAGAAAATGCAGCTTTGTGATTTCTGTCACATCCTCAGGGGCTGAGGGATAAGGCAAATACTTACTGTGCTTTGTAATATCCTGGCCACAGAGAGCTCATTCTGAGATGATGAAGCTGACGGAGGGATCTGATTGTCAGGGGCAGAGCTGGGATCTGAAGGCGACACTTCATTTAGACCTTCTGGTGGCCTGCTCTCAGGTTCATTTGTGGAGTCCAGCTGTGCAGCCCTCAGTGCAGCAGATAATACCTGAACTTGAACTGCAGGAAGAGAAGTTTCAAGAACTATAATAACTTTATGTGGCTTATGGGGCTTATTTCAGAGAAGTGTACACCATGCCACGAGACACAGCAGTGCACAGACACGCATGCCTGTTCCAGCATTGAAGCCCACATGGCAGCAGCACTCTGGAGCCTCCTCGGCGAGGTGCACAGTTAGGGCCACTGATAGTAACCACTTCACTAAATGCAAGCTATGTAAGAGATATCGAATCTGAACTTGACAGGGCTAGGGGAAAAAAATGAGAACCAAGACCTGTCATGTAAAGGTACAAGATCCCAGTGATGAATGTAACTGTACTGTCTACCTAAAATGTAACAATAAACTCAATGAGGAAAAAAAAATCTGCACGTGAAAAGCCTCAATCAGGAAAGCCAGAGTTTGACCCCACAGTCTTCCACAAAGAGACAATATAATATTACTGAACAGTGATGGCTGGCAGGTCTGCCACTTTGGCAAGGGGTGTTTTTTCCCTATTTATAAAATAGGATGCTACCTTTTCTGCTATACACACACAGAGAGACAACTGCCAGAGCAGACCAATTTGGTGAGTAATGATCTTACTAAGCCCCCAGGGATACCTGTCTACAAGATGACTGAGACTGCATAACAACAAAAATGACATGTCTCACCTATCCTTCCGTAAAAATAAAACTGCATGTTTCCATGTCCCCAACCTTCCAGTTCATACAAACTACTTCCTGCATCTTATTTTCCACCAGTTAGACTGTTAGTAACACACCACAAAATTCATTAAAATGTTTGGAACTTATAGCTGGCTCAGGACAAGTCCCACCATACCCAGCGCAAGTCTCATCTCCTTAGCATTTTGGGTTTTTTTGTACTGGGGATCAAACTCAGGACCTTATTTATGCTTGTGAGGAGGGTGGCAGAACCACTGAGCTAAATCCCTGGCTTCACACCAGGTGGTCCCCAAGGCCTGAGGGACATTCTTTGCCATGACCATTTTTTTCCCTGAATATTTTTGGGTTACAGATCCTTTCTTACAAAGAAATTAAGTAGCATATGCCAGGGATTTAGCTCAGTGGTTCGGTGGCCTGCCTTGCAAGCTCAAGGACCCGAGTTCAATCCCCCATACCAAAAAAAAAAAAAAAAAAAAAAAA